AATTGGTTAAATCTTAATATGCAGGTAACTTTTTAGAAGCCCTGATGGTGCAGTGGTTAAGAACTCTGCTGCTATCCAAAAGGTTGGCAGTTCAAATCCACCAGCCCTCTTTGGAAACCCTATGGGGCAATTCTAATATTGGTTTATCAATTAATAAGGCAGTCTAGCAGAATGAGCTGCGCATTCCTTCCTTCAGGAAGCCTTCTCTGAGCCTTAGGACTGGGTTAATTATGACCTTCCTGTATAGGCATATTTCGACCTGGTGGTATCATAGCCCTTATCACACCGTCTTTGCCGATCACCCCTGCTAGACATTAAGATTCCTCATTGAGGTCAAGACATGAATCTTAGTTAAATTACAGTTCTCAGAAAATGGCACATGGTAGACATTAAGTTCATATTTATTGAATAAAGGAGTGAATGATATCCAAAATTAAGTTCAAAATAAGAATAAAGCAACTAAGAACTGTAGCTGTCTTTCAGTAAATAGGACTTTTTAAAGCAGTGAATTTTCCCATGCCAGAAAGCATTAAAATAGAAATAGGGTCATTATTACAGATGTTGTGATAAAGATATCTTCATTGGCACGAGATTTGGACAGATGCCCTTTGGGAGCTATCCCGTCTCTAAGAATCCCTGCTTCTTTGAAGTCATTTTTTAGATGCTTTAAGTTTTTATTTCTGTTCATATTATGTGTGTCTAGTTTATAAAAATCTTGACTGTGCCTGTCTTTATTGTACTAATTATACTTTAAAAACTTCAAGCACTCATCACTCTTAGCATAGTACAATAATACCAGAACCAACAGATTCAAAATAATAGTCATAACCATTGACATAGTAGAAGGGAAGAAAAAAAGGTGAGTGTTAGGCCATTGAAGTCAATAAACCTGTTGCCGTTGAGTCGATTCCTGCTCATAATGACCCTATAGAACAGAGTAGAACTGCCTCATAGGGTTTCCAAGGAGCAGGTGGTGGATTCGACTGCCAGCCTTTTGGTTAGCGGCCAAGCTCTTAACCTGTGTGCCACCAGGGCTCCATAGAAGTCCGTAAGTAACTGAAATCTGTCAGCTCCAGTAGTTAGTGAGTGTAAAGGGTAGCAGACATGAGGAAAACACTGAAGAGCTTAGACAGGGTGTATCTGTGTATGCTTATAAGACCGTTACCTATGTTATCAATAAAGCCTCAATTACTGTTTTGCTAATAACTTTTGTGTTTATGTTTTCAGATCTGGAGTGAATAAAATAAAGCAGACATAATCTATTTCTAGAAAACTTATTTATACCCTAGCATTTGAAATGCCTTCTATTTAGAATAGCAGTGAAAATGGAAAAAGAGAAAGTAAATGATGGAAAACCAGACCCAGAGAGTTGCCTGGACTTTTCGGAACACTTTAACCAACTTGAACTGTTGGAAACACATGGACATCTTATTCCTACTGGTACCCAAAGTCTCTGGGCAGGCAATTCTGATGATGACGAGGAGCAAGATGAAAAAACAGAAGAGTGGTATCAATTGCAAGAAAAAAAAATGGAAAAAGACCCAAGCAAATTGCTTCTTTGGGCTGCTGAACAAAATCGGGTAAAAAAAAAAGAAACCATTAATTAGTAGGGGAAAGCATTGGGTTTGGAACCAAAAGACCTGCCTCCATTTAATCTGGAACTT